ATCAAATAAAATAGATTTCAAGCCAAAGTTAATCAAAAGGGATAAAGAGGGACACTACATACTGCTTAAGGGAACCATACACCAACAAGACATAACAATCATAAATATTTATGCCCCAAACAATGGTGCAGCTATGTTCATCAAACAAACTCTTCTCAAGTTCAAGAGTCTAATAGACCACCATACAATAATCATGGGAGACTTCAACACACCTCTCTCGCCACTGGACAGATCTTCCAAACAAAAGTTGAATAAGGAAACTATAGAACTCAATAACACAATTAATAACCTAGACTTAATTGACATATATAGAATATACCACCCAACATCAAGCAGTTACACTTTTTTCTCAGCAGCACATGGATCCTTCTCAAAAATAGATCATATATTATGTCACAGGGCAACTCTTAGACAATATAAAGGAGTAGAGATAATACCATGCATCTTATCTGATCATAATGGAATGAAACTGAAAATCAATGATAAAAGAAGGAAGGAAAAAGCATACATCACTTGGAGAATGAACAATAGGTTACTGAATGATCAATGGGTTATAGAAGACATCAAGAAGGAAATTAAAAAATTCTTAGAGATAAATGAAAACACAGACACAGCATATCGGAATCTATGGGACACATTGAAAGCAGTTCTAAGAGGAAAATTCATTGCTTGGAGTTCATTCCTTAAAAAAAGAAAAAACCAACAAATAAATGATCTCATACTTCATCTCAAAATCCTTGAAAAAGAAGAGCAAAACAACAGCAAAAGAAGTAGAAGGCAAGAAATAATGAAAATCAGAGCTGAAATTAATGAAATCGAAACAAAAGAAACAATTGAAAAAATTGACAAAACTAAAAGTTGGTTCTTTGAAAAAATAAACAAAATCGACAGACCCTTAGCGATGCTAGCGAAGAGAAGAAGAGAGAGAACTCAAATTACTAAGCATACGGAATGAAAAAGGCAATATCACAACAGACACTTCAGAAATACAGAAGATAATCAAAAACTATTTTGAATCCTTATACTGCAATAAATTAGAAGATAGTGAAGGCATAGATAAATTTCTTAAGTCATATGATCTGCCCAGATTGAGTCAGGAGGATATAGATAACCTAAACAGACCAATATCAATTGAGGAAATAGAAGAAACCATAAAAAGACTACCAACTAAGAAAAGCCCAGGACCGGATGGGTATACAGCAGAGTTTTACAAAACCTTTAAAGAAGAACTAATACCAATACTTTTCAAGCTACTTCAGGAAATAGAAAAAGAGGGAGAACTTCCAAATTCATTCTATGAGGCCAACATCACCCTGATACCTAAACCAGACAAAGACACTTCAAAGAAAGAAAACTACAGACCAATATCTCTAATGAACCTAGATGCAAAAATCCTCAATAAAATTCTGGTGAATCGGATACAAAAACATATCAAAAAAATTGTGCACCATGATCAAGTAGGATTCATCCCTGGGATGCAAGGCTGGTTCAATATACAGAAATCAATAAATGTTATTCACCACATCAATAGACTTAAAAATAAGAACCATATGATCATCTCGATAGATGCGGAAAAAGCATTCGACAAAGTACAGCACCCCTTTATGTTCAAAACTCTAGAAAAACTAGGGATATCAGGAACATACCTCAATATTGTTAAAGCAATCTATGCTAAGCCTCAGGCTAGCATCATTCTAAATGGAGAAAAACTGAAGGCATTCCCTCTAAAATCTGGAACAAGACAGGGATGCCCTCTCTCTCCACTTCTGTTCAACATAGTTCTCGAAACACTGGCCAGAGCAATTAGACAGACGAAAGAAATTAAAGGCATAAAAATAGGAAAAGAAGAACTTAAATTATCACTATTTGCAGATGATATGATTCTATATCTAGCAGACCCAAAAGGCTCTACAAAGAAACTATTAGAGCTAATAAATGAATTCAGCAAAGTGGCAGGATATAAAATCAACACGCATAAATCAAAGGCATTCCTGTATATCAGCGACAAATCCTCTGAAATGGAAATGAGGACAACCACTCCATTCACAATATCTTCAAAAAAAATAAAATACTTGGGAATCAACCTAACAAAAGAGGTGAAAGACTTATACAGGGAAAACTACAGAACCCTAAAGAGAGAAATAGAAGAAGATCTTAGAAGATGGAAAAATATACCCTGTTCATGGATAGGCAGAACCAACATCATCAAAATGGCGATATTACCAAAAGTTCTCTATAGGTTTAATGCAATGCCAATCAAAATCCCAACGGCATTTCTTGTAGAAATAGAGAAAGCAATCATGAAATTCATATGGAAAAATAAAAGACCCAGAATAGCAAAAACAATGCTAAGCAGGAAGTGTGAATCAGGCGGTATAGCGATACCAGACTTCAAACTATACTACAGAGCAATAGTAACAAAAACAGCATGGTACTGGTACCAAAACAGGCGGGTGGACCAATGGTACAGAATAGAGGACACAGAAACCAATCCACAAAACTACAACTATCTTATATTTGATAAAGGGGCTAAAAGCATGCAATGGAGGAAGGATAGCATCTTCAACAAATGGTGCTGGGAAAACTGGAAATCCATATGCAACAAAATGAAACTGAATCCCTTTCTCTCGCCATGCACAAAAGTTAATTCAAAATCGATCAAGGAGCTTGATACCAAATCAGAGACACGCCGTCTGATAGAAGAAAAAGTTGGCTATGATCTACATTCGGTGGGGTCGGGCTCCAAATTCCTCCATAGGACACCCATAGCACAAAAGTTAATAACTAGAATCAACAAATGGGACTTACTCAAACTAAAAAGTTTTTTCTCAGCAAAAGAAACAATAAGAGAGGTAAATAGGGAGCCTACACCCTGGGAACAAATCTGTACTCCTCACACTTCAGATAGAGCCCTAATATCCAGAGTATACAAAGAACTCAAAAAATTAGACAATAAGAGAACAAACAACCCAATCAACAAATGGGCCAAGGACCTGAACAGACACTTCACAGAGGAGGACATACAGTCAATCAACAAGTACATGAAAAAATGCTCACCATCTCTAGCTGTCAGAGAAATGCAAATCAAAACCACCCTAAGATACCATCTCACTCCAGTAAGATTGGCAGCCATTATGAAGTCAAACAACAACAAGTGCTGGCGAGGATGTGGGGAAAAGGGTACACTTGTACATTGCTGGTGGGACTGCAAATTGGTGCAGCCAATTTGGAAAGCAGTATGGAGATTTCTTGGAAAGCTGGGAATGGAGCCACCATTTGACCCAGCTATTCCCCTTCTCGGTCTATTCCCTAAAGACCTAAAAAGAGCATGCTACAGGGACACTGCTACATCGATGTTCATAGCAGCACAATTCACAATAGCAAGACTGTGGAACCAACCTAGATGCCCTTCAATAGATGAATGGATAAAAAAAATGTGGCATTTATACACAATGGAGTATTACTCTGCATTAAAAAATGACAAAATCATAGAATTTGCAGGGAAATGGATGGCATTAGAGCAGATTATGCTAAGTGAAGCTAGCCAATCCCTAAAAAACAAATGCCAAATGTCTTCTTTGATATAAGGAGAGTAACTAAGAACAGAGTAGGGACGAAGAGCAGGAGAAGAAGATTAACATTTAACAGGGATGAGAGGTGGGAGGGAAAGGGAGAGAGAAGGGAAATTGCTTGGAAATGGAAGGAGACCCTCAGGGTTATACAGTGGAGGGGGCAGAGAGAGAGGAGGGGAGGGGAGGGGAGAGGTGGGGAGGGGGGATGGTGGAGGATGGGAAAGGCAGCGGAGCACAACAGACACTAGTATGGCAATATGTAGATCAATGGATGTGTAACTGATGTGATTCTGCAATCTGTGTATGGGGTGAAGGTGGGAGTTCATAACCCACTTGAATCAAAGTGTGGAATATGATATGTCAAGAAATTTGTAATGTTTTGAACAACCAACAATAAAAAATTTAAAAAAAAAAGTAAGTGAACATTCTTTTTCATGCAATCTAGACAGTGTAGTCTGTCACTTTATAAAGCGTTGCTGAAATCCTATGAGAGCCCAAAAGGTAAATAGATATGATAACAAGATTGAGGGACAGAGTGAAAGCCAAGAGAGTAGAGAGAGATTGATGAATCAAGGAGATGGCTGATGAAGCAAAATGTCACAGCAGGTGGGAAGGAATACAAAGCACACACAGGAGGGCATGGTAGTGAATGGCTGTAATCCCAGGAGCTTGGGAAGCTGAAACAGGAGCCCTGCAAATTCCTTCAGTTCATTTAGCTATAAGCAACGTAGTGAGACCCCATCATAAAATTAAGAGATAAATAAAGTTAAAAAAAAAATAAAATAAAAAAAAAATAACAGATTTGGTTAATTCTTTGTTCTGGCTGCTTCTCAGACTATTTATTCTACCTGGAAAAATCCACTTCAGTCTTGCATGTCTAAATTCCACCTATTCTTTATGGTTTGTTTCAAATGTTCTCTCCTTTATCTAAATAATGTTTCCTTCCTCAGAAATTTCTACACTTCTATTTAACCCTTTTCTAGTAAACATTTTACATTTTAAGTCTCCAATCACTGTTGCTATCATTATTAACAGACTTTAAATCTATAAATGTTCTTATACTCCCCTGTCTCCCTTTCCCGGTTCCATGGATTGATTAAAATTAAACTATAAGTTTAGTATTATTTTACTAGTTTTATTTCCTTTTAAAATGTTCTAAGTTTTTGTTTTTAAGATCAACCAATTAAAATATTTTCATCCTAAATTTTCAGAATTTCTAACAGTGAACAATGTTCTATAAGTGCCTCTTTGGAATTCAGTTAATAAACAAATGCAACTTTAAATACTGAGAGTTAAATCTGACACACTGGCGAGAGCAAGCGTGGATGCTATCATATTAAAGGCCTTTGGAGGCAGGCTAGCATAGTTTACACGCCATTGAGCCTATTTATAGAGCTGACTCCTTTTTGCAATGTCAACTGTAACATTACACTTATTTTAAGCCTCAGTATCTCAAATATCAGCCCCTACTAGTTGTATAGTTCTCTCTTATTTGATATCAGAGAGCCCAATGGAGCCTTCTGAAGTACCCAGTCAGATTAGCAAAGATAATTTTTTAGAAGTTCCTAATTTATCTGATTCTGTTTGTGAAGATGAAGACATTGGAGATAATTTCAAGCCTGGCTTCTCTCCTCAACCCAGTAGACGAGGTTCTGAATCTTCTGAAGACATGTACCTGGACACCCCAACTTCAGGTACCAGAAGAGTTTCATTTGCTGACAACTTTGGATTCAATCTTGTGTCCATTAAAGAATTTGATTGCTGGGAATTACCGAGTGTTTCAACCAATTTTGACTTAAAGAAGGATGTTTTCCATACTGAAGAGTATGTACTATCTCCACTCTTTGATTTGCCTTCTTCAAAAGAAGATCTCATGCAACAACTTCAAGTACAGAAAGCAATATTAGAGTCAACTGAATATCTTCCTGGGTCTACAAGTATGAAAGGCATTATTCGAGTTTTGAATATTTCTTTTGAGAAGTTAGTATATGTGAGAATGTCCTTAGATGACTGGCAGACACATTATGACATTTTAGCAGAATATGTTCCTAATTCATGTGATGGTGAAACTGATCAGTTCTCCTTTAAGATTTCATTAGTTCCTCCTTATCAAAAAGATGGCAGTAAAGTTGAGTTTTGTATACGTTATGAAACTTCTGTTGGTACATTTTGGTCAAATAATAATGGCACAAATTATGCACTGGTTTGTCAAAAGAAAGAACAAGAGCCAGAGCCTGTGAAGCCACGGGAAGAAGTTTCTAATAGACAAATAAAAGGCTGCTTAAAGGTAAAATCAAGGTGAGGATATATCTTGCAATTATTTGTTATTCATCATCTTGAAAGATTTTAATGCTGTCCTTTATATCACATGTTGTAGTAAATAGTTACTTTAAAAAAGATATACTGCCTGCTATGTAAAACAGTGGTGTCAGGCTTAACAAGGTCAATGCTAGTCAAATAGTTCTGTTATTTCTTCTATAAATGTTAAAAAAAATGGGTATAAAGTAATAGATGGTAGGGGAACTATAATATGTGTATTACTTGCTTAATGAGTTATAAATCAATTTTAAACCACGAAATTCAGACTCTTCATAAGCTATTTATTTTGACATTTAAAGTATATTTATTTTTAGTACTTTTAAAGTGTCTGTGCTCTACTTCGAAACATTTCTGATTAACATAAAACTATATATTCAGTATGTACATAGTTCTCAGAAACTTGTAGACCTTTCCCAAAAATGAAAACAAAATATTTTAATGACTAATTGAGGCATATAGGGAATTTTGGAGTGATACATGTTAAGTTAAATCATAAGAGATAATACTTAAATTATAAACTAGCAGAATGATGTTAAGTATGTGAATGATATATAAATTACATATAGTTTATAATTATAACCAAATGTAAGATTATGGGACCCAAATTAGTATAATTTACTAAAAGTAAATGGAGCAGAATAAAATATGACCCAAATAGAAATAAGGATATTCAGCTATATAGATAAGAGATTTGGGATGTGACCCCTCATTAGTAACCCTGCTCTCCTAATAATATGAAAAAAAAAAATCCCTGGCATTCAGTTCTCTCGATAGTGCAGTGTTGGCTAAGTTCCATGACACTGGGTTAGTAGATAAAGTATTCAGGAGGAGTTAGTCTCCTTCTGCTCTGCACAGTGTCCTGAAGGACAAGTCCACACTGCTCCTCTCTCCACAGGCAAATATTTGATTATCCTCTGAGTGATCTATTCTAACTGTCCCTAAACATAAAGAGTTTAGTAACTGTATCAGAAATAATGTAATACTATGAAAAGGGAATGGTAGTAGGAATGAAAACACCCAGATTTTAGTTCTTTATGTAGAATTTAGTGAAAAAAACCTATAAGCTATGACAGTGGAACTTTTTAACCTCTTTTTGTTTTAATGTATACGACAATAAATAGTAACTACTAAATGTGTTGTTTTAATGCATTAATGAACTAAGTGTAGTCTAGGTTGAAGCAATTCTGGCATATGAAGTATTTCTACTTTCATTTTCTTTTAAAGTCATTTGAAAGAGTAACTTAATCAACTTTGTGAATTGTGTCAACTCTCTTAGTCCAAATCCAACTTTTTCAGATTTTAACTGATGCTGTTAAGAGAGCTAATAGAATCATAATTGTATATATGTGAAAACAATAGTTTAAATGTTTATAAACTTACTCAACAGCATACTCACTGTAGAAACAAAATAATGGTATTTAGCACACTAATTTCTCTACATACACTTGCATATATTAAATACTTTATGCATGAGATAGTCATCAGTGAATATCTGTTAAACATGCTGCAGGTTGCTCTGTAAGTGAGAGAAAACAGAATTTAAGAAAGGTATAGCCTTATTGTCAAAGGGTTCATAAAAGAAGCAGCATTTAACTCAGTGGATTTTCCTGCAATTTAAAGATGCAGCTTTATAATGAAAAAGAATCCACACTGAACTATAGTTTAGGTAGGGGATTCCTTTGATAGATTAAATTTGGATACCAAGAGCAAAATAGAGGCCTAATATTCTACCTCAGTCATGATATTATTGGAACTTCTCCTGGTTGAAGATATGTACAACTATCTATACCTGCACAGACATTTGTATTCAGAACAGTCATCAATGGATTCATAGCGGACACCATTCAAGTTTTAATATTGCTTTGGGGAAAAACCTGAGAAGAACTAAACCACAAAATGGTCTAAAGGCCTGTAAAGTTTCCTAATGAGTTATAAAAATGGAAAAAATCTCTCTCCTTCAAAACCACAAATACATTTTCTGCACTTCTATAACTTAAAAATGACCAACATAATTCAAACCACACTTGGAAAAAAGCATTTGCCTCTGGAGGAGGCTTTTTGTGCCGAGTTTCAGTCCAACATGAATTTTTACATCTGATTTATATACCACTCAAAATGGAGTGTATAAAGGAAATCCTGACAGATCCTTAGAACAGCATGTGCCATAATAGAATATTTATACAGCTTTTCCATGATATAATTTATATGCAATGGGGTTTCAAATATTCCTAAAACTCACACAAGAGAGCATTATCAAATTTCTAAATGAATATAGCAGTTGGATTTCATTGTGAAGAATTTGAGAATAGAGAAAAAGAGCACACCTTATTAGTGTTATTTCACAAAATGTGTACTTGGCTAAAATTAAAGTGAACAAACACACTTGATAAAAATTATAGATTCTACAATGTCTTCCTCCTTCCATATAGTTACAATATCTAAAAGTGTCTCTTATTGAGTGTTTGTACATTTGTTATGTAATTGGAGGTCATTTCTTTCAAAGTAAAAAACAGAAGAGAAATGTATGTGAATTTTTGCTTCATACATGCAAGTAGATTAATAATATTGTGCAACATAAGTCTGAGTTAAAATGAAAATTGTCTGTCCTGGTGCACAGAGCAACATCTAACTTCAATTACTCTTAATGCCAAAGTTAATTTGCTATCAGGATCCTGAGATTGTATCTTCTGAAAGTGTCAATAATCCCTTGTAATAAGTATGGGATGAACTGTGGGAACACTATGCGGTAGGATTTCTGTTATGTCAATCATTCATCCAAGCCTTGTGTTTTCTCTATGGAGATTTTTCTCAGGTCAAGTTTGGCAAATTTTCACATTGGTGTGGACTTTCTATTTTCTTTTGATGCTTGTTAATTTAACCACTTTGGACAGAAAGAAATATATATAGGGAGAGGAAAGCATAGTCTGTAACTGAGAGGCATGTGACTGAGAATGACCCAAAGGTATTTAATTGCACTGAAAGGCATGCATCATGAGATACTTGTTAAGTATCACCACATATCCAGCACTGGACTATGTGCTAGCAAACAAACTAAGCTACTAAACGGATCTACATTCCATGGGGTTTGTTTGAAAATGTATGACAAGAAAAACATAGATATAAATCACATTAAATGCACATAGATAAATAAGCAAAAATAGCATGCAGAAATGGTATACTCTCAAAATGAAAAATTATAGACTTCATAAATATTTTTGTGTTTGATTTCTAACTTTACTATATGTGAACTTGGGCAAGTTAAGTTTGGTTTCCTTGTCTATTACTTGGGAATAAAAGTGGCTGTGCCCCATAAGGGTTTGAGATTTCCATGAGGTAATACACATAAACTTTTGATGTAGTGTCTCAAACATAGGAAGTTATCAATGAATATTGGCTGCCATAAAAAGGCAATGCTAACTCAAACTTTAGGAATATTTGAGAAACTCTGTTAAGGCTTAAGCTCCCTCTAAGTCCATTTCCCATTTCTTTTCAGGTTTCCTGAATTTTCAGGTTTGAAAAGTCATTCCTTTGTCTTTTGCAAGATTTTTTTTCCAGCACTGGGAATTGAACCCAGGACTTTGTGCATGTGAAACAAACACTATATCACTGAGCTACACCCCCAACCCTCTTGCAGCTTTGGAATCAACAAGCAAACTGAACTGTAAATTTTCCTGAGATATGTGTGACCTTATGTCTGGAGTACCTTAAAACTGGAAGAGAACTTAGCAACCATTAAAATTTTACACATGAAAAATGAAGTAACAGACTAGAAAGTGTAAAAAAGGCATTACTTTTGGCATGGAAAGGATGTGCGTATTAATACCAGCAAAACATATGCTTAATAACTATGTGGTTACGGATCTATTTATTTCTCAAAGCCTCAGTTAAGTTACCAGTCAAATAAGGGGTTCTAAAGTCTGTGTTGTGATGATTAATGTAAAATGAGATTATATTTTTAAAGTTTCTCATAAGAGTGTTGGTTGCATATAATCATCAAAAGCTAACTATCACCATGGTCATTATCATTACCAAACCTTGTCCAGCTAACTAATTTCCTGATTCTTGGACTTGCACTGTTTCTCCAGACACTGTAGGTTTCCTTGTTCAAGTTCCAAAACAAATTGAACACATGTTTCTTAAGGACCTGTGTGCCAGGTCCTATGTTTAGGCAACAGTGTCCAATTGAGAAGTGTGCCTAGAGACATGGGCCTATGAGGACAAGGAAAGTCCCCAAGACAGAGGAAAACAACAAACCCAAGCTCAGGTTTTCTGGGTATACAATATAAGCCACATATCTCAAAATATAATAAGAAATACTTATATTTTAGCTTTTCTCGAATGTGTGATCTATAACTGACCTTGAGTGATGGCTAGGAGAGTGGCCTCCTCAGCACCTTGTTTTTTTCTCCTCCACCAGCTTAATGTATGTTCTCAACTGTTGGGTACACAGGTTGACTTCATCTGGTTTTGTATTTTATTAAGTGAAACCAATTTATTATTTTAAGCAAAGAAACAGCATGATATAGGTGTTGGATGGTTTTTATAACTTGGCCAGGTTAATGCAAATATAACCCTAGATGACTTTAATGCCAAGGGAAAAAAATGATTAGTACTCAATATTTCTTTTTTTATACTAGAGTAATAGAACCAGGCACATTCAGGAAAGGGACAAAAAATTTTTCTAAAGCATATTTTAAGAATGTGGAGAGTTTATCTTCCAGGATGGTAAAATTGTTAAAAGGAGGCTAAGAAAAGCATTGGAAAATGGGGCACAAGATATGGCCATGTTACAAGTTCCAGATAGAGCCATTGGATTGTGAAACTTCCTTCATTTACCAGTATAGCATAATCTGGGGTCCTGGAAATAGTCCAAAGAGGTGTAAATATCTCCATGAGGCCTCTGGGACCTAAGGTATTCCATAACTAACTCATTTTGAGTCCCTGCTAATTGTGGAAGCTGGGTCTGTTTAAGTGGGGGG